AAAACCTATAGAATGGTCATACCTGTCAGGGTTAAAGGTTCTGCAGTGTCAGACTACAAACACTTTTTATGCAAATGGTGTGAATTGCGGGCTTTACCTGTGTGCCAGGACATGTTTGTCCTGTTCGCGGACACCTGTTGTCATCACAGATTTTCAATGACCCATGTAAGTTTCACTGTTATTTTACCTATAACCCCCAATATAATCTGTTTCGGGGAATAACCGAGATGTACATTTACATCTACATTTAACAGATTGTATCTCGCCATCTAATGATCCGTATAATACAATTATGATTGTCTATTTCTGATCACAAAACTGTCACTTTATTAATAATCTTTATAAATCTCCATAGAAATATTATGATAAAATTACTGCCGTAGGTTTTGAGATTCGCTTTACAAATCCGATAACTCTTCTAAATTGAAATGTTACAAAAAGAAATGAAAAGCAATGACGTTATTTATTTCGTGGACCAGTAAAGGGTCAAATATAAAAAGTCAACCAATTTGCTGTCGCTAGTAATACTAGCACATTGATTATGCTGTTGTGATTAAACCGTGTTCACTATCTTGTTAAATGTATCCTAAGCCACTCAAAACAACAATTTATAACGAAAATTATTTACAATTTAAATTTAATTATTTTTGCCAACCTATATGTTCGGACCAGTAGTCCATTATTGCAAAATTGAACACTCTCGTGTGGCTTTCCAACTCTAGGTTACATGTATGTTGCAGGGTGCAGCTCCTGTCCCATCGACGGCGACCATGATCATTGCGACGACGTGTACAGCCCTCCCCCGAGGATACAGATTGACCCCGGAATGTGTGACAAGATAAGCGACCTTCCTACTGAACGTAAGTCATACCGCCATTGATGTTACCATCTGGTGGTTGGTCTGTCTACTGAACGTAAGTCATAACGCCATTGACGTTATCATGTGGTGGTTGGCCTGTCTACTGAAGGTAAGTCATAACGCCATTGATATCGACCTCTGACGGCTGACCTGTCTACTGAAGGTAAGTCATAACGCCATTGATATCGACCTCTGACGGCTGACCTGTCTACTGAAGGTAAGTCATAACGCCATTGATATCGACCTCTGACGGCTGACCTGTCTACTGAGCGTGTCCTACCTGCCAGAGGAAGAGAGTGATATTGGTTTTACGCCGCTTTTAGCAATATTCCAGCAATTTCCCGGCGAGTACACCAGTAATGTGCATCATACATTTTGTCAATTTACTGAAAACAGTCAGAGAATCATTGAGATACCTAGATGCTGTTCTACGGACATAACGTGACATGTGATACCACTAACAAAACAAGCAAATGTCATCATAATACTGATGACAGACACACCTTTACCGGAACTTAGGGTTGCTTAAGCGTAAATGTTTTCCACACATATCTCCAACCGACCTATATTGGCAGAAATGTTTGAACCTAAAGAGAATGCATGCTTTATTCCGATTGATCCACCTGTGGCACACACCACAGTACGATTCCCATAAAAAGGGTCAATTAGACACTTTAGTATGATTCTGCAAGCAGAACGTAATTATCAAAATTGAAGTCATCCAATTGGAGCATACAAATTCTACTTTTTAATGTGTTAACATTTGTTCATATGTACCGTATCGTCCCGTAGTTTGAGGTGAACAAGTGTCTAGCCTTTGCAGTTGTTTGTGCCACTGACAGGGCAGAATACACAGCCGAATAGTACAATCGATTCTTCTTATAGCAGAGAATTGTTATGGATGATCATCTATTTACTGTTATTTATTCACGTAGAAAGTAGGACTTCTTTCGAAACCATTTGGCGTATTCCATAGGCAGAATTAGAAGAATTTTTACCTTTGTTTCAGAGACCAAACTCTGCAAGAAGTACGAGAAACATCCGGGATACTACGTTTCCTGCTCTAGCCAAGGCATGACCTTCTCCTGCAAGGCCTCTTGCGGGGTCAAGGTCGAAGACGTGGGCAAGAACTTCACAATCAACGACAAGCTGAAGGACATCATGTCCAATGGACTCCTACTGGGGTTGAACACACCGCATGAGAAACATGAAGATCTTTTAAGCGGTGTTGGGTTCGGAGGAGACCTTTTGAGTTTTGCCAACCATCCAGCCACGCCAGAACATACTAACCCAAATCCATCAGCAGTCCAAGCTAATAACGCAGGACATGCAAACCCATTTAACCAGAATCTTGTTCCACAAGGAGCCTACGATGTGTACCAACCTCTCATAATTCCAAACCAGCAGAACCAGCAACAGCCTCACACAAATTTCAACTTTAACCCCCTCCCACAACCTGGCCACTCTGTTCACAACCCCTTCCCATCGGGACCTTCCAACTTCCCTGGAACCCCTTTCTTCCCCAGCAACGTCCAACACCCAGCTCCAGCAGGACCAGCAGTTCCTGTACAACACCCTGCTCCTTTCTTCACCAGCAACGTCCAACACCCAGCTCCAGCAGGACCAGCAGTTCCTGTACAACACCCTGCTCCTGTCTTCCCCAGCAACGTCCAACACCCAGCTCCAGCAGTTCCTGTACAACACCCTGCTCCTGTCTTCCCTACCAACGTCCAACACCCAGCTCCTGCAGCACCAGCAGCTCCTGTACAACTTCCTGGGTCCCCATTACTATCTTCAAATCTCAATTCTGGAAATCAACCAGCACTCAAAGAAAACGTGAATGTTCAGAAAGGAAACTCTAATCCACCTCCCTATGGTCCTGGGTCCTCGTTCCTTCCAACAAATATCAATACTGGATATCAACCAGAACCCCAAGCTAAAGCTAATTCTCCGAAAACAAATCCTATTGGCCCTCTTGTAAATCAGCCAGTTCCCCAAGCTGGCGCTAATGTTCCCCGAGCGGGCGCTAATGTTCCCCAACCCACCCTTACTCCACCACCACGTGGCCCTGGGTCCCCATTCCTCCCTGCAGATCTCAACACTGGATATCAGCCAGCTCCAACTCCACCTCAAAGGGGTCCTGGATCTCCCTTCCTTCCCACAGATCTCAACACTGGATATCAGCCAGCTCCCCAAGCTAGCGATAATGTTCCCCAAACTGGCGCTAATGTTCCCCACCCAAGCCCTACTCCACCACCACGTGGCCCTGGATCTCCCTTCCTTCCCGAAGATCTCAACACTGGATATCAGCCAGCTCCTCAGGCAAGGGATAATGTTCCTCAACCTGGCACTAACGTTCCCCAACCAAGCCCTACTTCACCTCCACGTGGTCCTGGATCTCCCTTTCTTCCCACAGATCTCAACACTGGATATCAGCCAGCTCCTCAGGCAAGCGATAATGCTCCTCAACCTGGCGCTAATGTTCCCCAACCAAGCCCTACTCCACCTCCACGTGGTCCTGGATCTCCCTTTCTTCCCACAGATCTCAACACTGGATATCAGCCAGCTCCTCAAGCTAGCGATAATGTCCCCAAACCAACCCCTACTCAACCTCGAAGTGGTCCAGGGTCCCCCTTCCTGCCAACCGATCTCAATACTGGATATCATCAAGCTCCCCAAGCTAACGCTAATGTTCCCAAAACAACCCCTACCACGTTTTTCCCAACTCCAAGTGGCGCTGGATCTCAATTTCTTGCCACAGATTTGGACGCCGAGTCGGCAATCCCAGCAAACCCTACCCCTCAGCCACCAAAAGTTAATCCTGGTTCAGTCAACCCTGCATTTCAATCCCATGCTGGATCCGATGGTGATGCCGTGTTGACCCATCCATCTCCAGCGGCACCAGTTTTAGTGGCCCCTGCTGCCGCTGTCGTCAATGACCATCATGTTTACGAACCAAACGCCCAAACAGGGTTTCTCCCAACAGTGTTAGCCAACAAAGCATCAATAAGTGCAAATAAACCTCTCCCTGGTGGAAACCATGCTGATCCCCAGTCTCATCTGTCTGAATCAGTACATGTTAATTCATTAAACACTCTTCCAGCTCATGTCATCAGTAATCCTGCCAGTTCCCTCCCAGACCCAAAGAAGGTACTGTCACATACCGTCAACAACATTCCTGCTAATATCCCTAGGTCGAGTTTACCAGCTGTATCGAATCCCTCAGTCATCAGTGTTCTCCCCGCAGCCTCTTCGTCCAACTATGCCGTCCCCCAAAATTCTGTTCATCAAGCTGGTCTTCTAAACGGACTAAACAACAATGATCAGGCTTCCTACCAAAGCCTGCCTTCCCTTCCCAGCAACATCCATGGCGGCCACACTTCCGGTCTGGCCTCTGTCCCCTCTTCTGGTCCAGCTTCCGGTCCTGCTTTGAATCCTGTTTCCGGTCCAGATTCTCATTCTAACTTCGGTTCTCTTGTTTCAACTCATGTTGATCCTAGCAATGCTGGAGGGTCGTATGCGGGGTTCGCGGGCTTTGCTCCGTTTCCTGGTCACTCAAACTTCCACAACAACGCCGTAGCCCATCCTGCACCCCAAGTCCCCACCCTCCCAGACCTCCGTCTCCCAAACGTCCCAGCATACAACAGCATTCATGGAAATGCTGGACATCAGAATCCTCCTCCCAGTGCTGGCCCTAAATCGGGTGGTGATCCATTCTTCGGATTTGGCTTTGGTACCTATGGCGGTAACAATGGGTACCAGAACCTAGGTGGCTTCAACAACAACAACAACTACGGCAGCACGAACAACCACCTTGGACAACTCACAGACAGCCTCCATAAGCAGGTATATAGTAACTGCAAGAATGAGATTTAGATAAAACAGGTAAAATGTATTCCATGAGATAAACTTTATCAGAGGGAACAAAGGAGAGTCAGTCCAATTGTTGTTTCATGCCTCATACGAAAACGACGAAAAGTACATGATGCATACAATTTATACATCGCTTTTGGCACTGTAAGGAAAAACATAAAAACGTACCTATGGACACATTTTCATTTTAAAACACGACCCCTTAATATATTGTTCAAGTTGAAGGCATAAAAACCCGTGAAGATCCCGGTAAGAATTGGACTTCAGCAACCCATGGTTGTCATGAAAGACAACTAACGGGATCGGATGGTCAGGATCGCTGACATATTTGACACATGTCATTGTATCCCTATTGCATAGATCAATGCACATGCTCTAGATCACTGGATTGTCTGGTTGACACTCGATTATTTACAGACCGCTACCATATAGCTGGAATATTGCCGAGTGCGGCGTTTAACAACAAACAAAAACGATGGACGAACGTTGAGTTGTCTTTCCCTTATACAGAACATACACAGTGAAACGTGCAACACAACTTCGCGTTCTCAACAATTTCTGTGACTCACATTTTCTTACATTTTCACGCATTAGTTTAGCAAACCAACATAAATTTACACTAACTGTCACTGATAACATATGACACTGCAAAGCCTTTACTTAAAAATACCTTCTAATTGATCTCATTGTTTGGCCAAGGGGTAGGAAGAATCTGTCATTTCTATGTTCACACTTCCCTGACTTATGACACGTGCATTACATAGTATACAATTGTTCATCTTTCAGATGAATGACCTCAAGGATACCTCAGCGTCTGGAGCCAAAACTGTTGGGACGTCCAGCTCCACCAACACCGGCAAGACCGCCTCATCCTCCAACATTAACTCCTACAACACCGACTCCAGCAACGCCGGCTCCACGTCAGGGGGCAGTTCGACTCACGACCTTGGAGCTACTAACAATGCCGGTAAGTCACAATGCCAAAGCTGCTTGTGCTCGCTTAGGGTATTGTCGTATAGTCAGTTCGGATTGTTCCGTAATGACGATATTTCTGAAGTGAAGATAAAAATATCTTTATTATGATATGTTTTCGGGACTTGAATTTAGGATGTTTGTCAAATGAAATTGTTGGTGGATAAGATATATTATATATATCATATAGGGTATTATAGTTCCGTACTGGATCTCGCGTTTCCAGTCTACTAATTATTTTTATTTTTTTGTAGTTTCGATAACTTTCATTAATATTTTGGTTAAACCAATGTGTATACTATCCTATAAGTCGACCATCGTAATGACGATTACATTGTTGTCACAAGTATAAGTTTAAACTTAGTCATCAAAGTACACTTTTGATAGAAACAAACCGCTACATTTAAGCTGACAAAAGACCCCAGTTGGAATTGATCCAGCTGAACCACTTCATAAGTCTAGTCTTGCTTCGTTTGGGAGTGTCGCATTACAGTGAGAGTGAAATTGAAAGTAATATGGTCAAAATACTTTAAAACAGACTACCGGTAATGGTCTCTCACACCTTAAACGCAATTTCATTACAAAATAGTTTAAGTTAAATTACCTTTAAGAGCAAAACTGCATCTCAAATTATCTGGCAAATTCTTTAGTTCACATTGGAATGAAGTAAATATTTTGCTATTGTACTTCCCAAGGGCACACGTGTTATGCTAAGGTCATACGTTATAAAACTCCAAGCTTGTAGCAGTTGTTATCAGTGCAACAAGACCTAGAAAGAATTGAAAGCATAACACAAACTGGAATTCAAGGTCATTTCCATTTTCCAAGGTCACGACATGACCATCGGCAATGACCTTTTTACTGGCTTTGGTAACATGTTAAGTGGCCAAGGTGGATCCACATCAGGTAACCATGGCAACGGTAAGTGTCAGTAGTAACTGATGAGAGCACTCCTACTTGTATTGCGGTGCTTTGTAACAAAATAAATAACAACACTGGTACAGGTGAGAAGTGCTTTACCTAGCTTTTATCGATGTCATAGCGAATGCTTTACCCATTAGACTTACCTACTGTCTCCTTTGTAATGACACACTTACCATTAACTGCATACGTTATTAACCATAGCCAGACGTAAGTGAGTGAGCGAGTGAGTATGGTCACACGTCCCTCTCAATAATATTCCAGCCATATCAGCCATACACAAGAAATGGGCTTCACACCATGTTCAGATGAGGGGAATCGAACCCTGGTCTTTGGTGTGATGAGCTACCCCACCGCCCCGTTATAGGACTTTCCCTGAGTGTTTATTAGTGTTGGGAATTGGTTGAAATCTAATAATTGATGATTGATCCATTACAACCGATCAATCATCGAAAATAATTGGTTAGCGTCCTTTATTAAATGTCCCTGTTATTTTTGTTAATGCACACACAAAATTAAGAAAAAACATGTAGTAATTTGGGTTTTTTGCAAATTGTTTAAAGTCCATTTGCAAATTTTGCATATTTAAATGATGATTAGAATGTTAGGAACACATATTTCCTGGATTCTTTAATATAAATTCAATCATGACTTGGAACGAGCTTGTAGTGCTTATGAAACGTAAATTGATTGACACAGACAAAACCAGCCTCGTGAAAAATATTGTTAATGCAAACAAGTGTTCCAAGATTGGTCGTGTTCGATTACGAGAAAACATGTTCGATTGCTTGGTCGCTGAGTCACTGCGACCAATCTTCGATTATTTCAATTAATCGGACCACCACCTGTGTGTATTACACTGGGCGACATGTTTAATTTTTTTAATTTATGTTTGCCATGCAACAGATTGAAGCAGAAAATCACAGAAATGGCATAGAACCAAAATAGTTTAGCTTCATGTGCCTGACCACTCCAGCTTAATTAATACTTTGAACTACAAAACAAACCAGGAAATTAGAGGAGTGTATTCTGTTCGAGTAGTTCCTTCAATATGGTTTGACAGCTTGCAGAAAATATTGAAGCGGACGTAACATATTCCCTCTGAAACCTGAATGTAAGTTTCCAACATAATTCCAATGCTGGATCCGTTTAAGAGACTCAGAAATGAATTTGAAGCCCATATTTATATATTTAATATTTATAACCCACCACAATTTAATGTTTTAATCTTAGAAATATATAGAATTTGGGTATCCGTTATAGAAATGAACACAATTATCACAATTAACATCACCATAAACATCATCCCCATCATCTCCCGATTCAGCGAACCTCCGTTAGCTCCACACTGTTGGCGATTGCAGGACAGTGAGTGAGTGAGTTTAGTTTTACGCCACACTCAGCAATATTCAAGCGATATGGCGGCTGTCTGTAAAGTGGTGAGAGTGTAATGAAAAGTGAGAGAAGTGAGAGGAAGGAGAGGACAGAGACAATAGGGGGAGAGAGAAAGAGGTGAGCGAGAGAAGGAGTTGAGAGAGAGAAAGGGGTTAGAGAGATAAAGAGTTGAGAGAGAAGTGAGTGAGTGAGTTTAGTTTTACGCCACACTCAGCAATATTCAAGCGATATGGCGGAGGTCTGTAAATAATCGAGTCTGGGCAAGACAATCCAGTGATCAACACCATGAGCATCGATCTACGCAATTCGGATACGATGACATGTGTCAGCCTGACCACCCGATCCTATTAGTCGCCTCTTACAAGCATGGGTTACTGTAGGCAAATCCTAACCCGGATCTTCACCGGTAGCTTGCAGGACAGCCACATTCAACTTAAAGAACATTACTACGTGCCTTAGACTCGTTTATCCGGAATTAAGTCACAAAAAAGTAAAGATAGATTGGTTCCGTCCAGATAAACGGGGTTGTATTACGCCGATCTTCGCTGTCGTCAAAACACCACAGTTTCAGGTATAGATAATCTACCAATAGTATTATCCTTTGTTAACTTTCATTATTTTCCTCTAAGACTAATACCGCCTCCGTGGTGTAGTGGTTAGAGCGTCCGCCCTGAAAGCGGAATGTCGCGGGTTTGATCACCGACCGCGTCATACCAAAAGACGTTAACATATGGTACTTGTTGGTCCCTGTCTGGAGCTCGGCATTAATGGGTACAACAAGGACTGGTCGGCTTGGAGTCAGTATAATGTGTCTGAGTGGGGTATTCATGCTTCACTGCGGCATGGTATCTCAGTGGGCTAGCTCTATAAAACCAGCTTAAGTCTGTTCTAGCCGCACATACACCTACACACGCATGCACGTCGTCATATGAGCGAAATATTCTCAAGCACGACGTTAAACCCAATTTCACCTCACCTCACCTCACCTCTAAGACTAATTTTACACTAACATTAACATTCAATTATACACTTTGTTGCACTCACATATGATACGAATAATAATTTATTTTCTGTGTCCTTAAAACAATAACTGCATTTTTCCGATCTTTCCGGTTTGTTAACACATATCTGATCCCGTATCATTGCAACTCAGTCATTGCAACTAAGGGGAGATAACTAATACTCTTCGTCTTAATCTTCATCAGTGTGTCCAAGTTCGTATTTACATTCAGCAAAATGATTATTACTTTGACACATTTTAGTAATTAGTTACAACTCGTTGTAATCTCTGTATATCAAATAGTGACAGTGGACGTTGGAGAAAGTCAAACTTTGGTAATAGCAGTGTTCAAAAGTACTGTTTAACAAGGTAAATAGACCTGCTTCCATATCACTGGAGAACACAATCCCTGAAAGTCTTATGCTCCTATTTTGCTTTGGGTTTCTTAATCGTATGTGTAAGGGTGAGAGAGCCGTCTCTTATATTTTTATACATAGTTTAAAGGTCGGTGCTGTATTTGGTTTAGCATGAAACAGGAAATGACGAAAATCTTTCAAATCAAGACGTTTTGATCTGTTGATATCTTCGAAGTGATTTTGACAGGTTTCCATGCCAACCCGGCGTCACACACCATGTTCAACCAGCTGAGCAACCACCAGGGTTACTTCCAGGGATTCCAGCCATTCAACAACTTCATGGCTCCACCGAAAAGAGGTACAGCAGTTCTTCAATTCATTTGATTGCGTGGGCTGTTTTTGTTTGTTTTTTAACTCAGCAATTTTCCAGCTATATGACGGTGGTCTGTAAATAATCGAGTCTGGACCAGACAATCCAGTGATTGACATCATAAGCATTGATCTACGATAAATTGGGATACAATGACATGTGCCAGACAAGTCAGCGAGCCTGATCACCCGATTCCCTTAGTCGGGTCGTTCGAGCATGGGTTGTTGAAGACAAATTCTAACCCTGTGTGTTAGTATATGGTTTGAGTGAGTGAGGTGGGGTTTAACGCCGAATTTAACAGCACTCTTGTAATATCACGGCATGTCAGCTGAATGTGGGAAGAAAGCCCGAAATGTTGCAGGTCTCCGATGTTTTCAGCTTTAGTGAAACACACGAGCACGTTAATTATAAGATGGTGACAACATAAACACTTAATCGAGGCAGTGATTCGGACCCTAAGCAATATTTTTCTGGCGTACCCAAAGGACGCAGTTCTGCACTGTGAATTGCCGCTCAAAACAACGGATCCATTCCTTCCCCCCTCTCCTACGACTTACAGGGTCGACTTGAGGTCAGATCGAGGACTTGTATGCGTGAGTGAGTGTGGTTTTACGCCGTTGTTAACAATATTCCAGCAATATCACGGCGGGGACACAAGAAATGGGCTTCACACATTGTACCCATTTGGGCAATCGAACCCGGGTCTTCGACGTGACCAGCGAACGCATTAACCAGAATACTACCCCTCCGCCCCCGAGGACGAGTACAAATCGTATCCAAATTGTGTTGATCGATTTCCATTATGTTGTATTTATTGTCTAGCCCAGACTCGATTATTTACAGACTAAAGACACATAGCTGGAATATTCATCACAAATGAATAAATTTCGTTTAGTGACATCAGTATTTCAAAATGGTAATCTATTACAATCGAATTAATGACTTAAGTGACAAGGCTGTCGTGTATGTATTCATTTCAATACTTCTGCTAGATATCTTACACTGCCTTTGTACCATCCATAATTGAATCTTAGGACTAAAATATTAGTATCTTTTATGGATCTCTACTGATTCACTTCATGATACCAACAGTTAATTTTGCAGAAAGAAACAAATGTATAAAATGAAAATGAAAAATGTACCTAATCATTTGCACCCATCAACATGAAAATGTACAACGGTTTGACCTCAGTTGTTATTCAAAAGGCCGTCATTGCACCAGCTCACTCACTCACTTTTGTATTATCTCCTCCAGAAAACAAACAACAACCAGTCTCCAAGAACAACATCTTCAGTAACGGCCTCTTCGACTTCATGGGACGTCGCCGTTAGAAGAAACTGCATCAACAACCTGAACACCAAACTGCATAAATAAAATGACGAAATGGACCTAAGCATTTTAACACATATGTGTCTAAATCAACTGGTCTAATGTGTTTACTGTACATGTGTTTAGGAGTAGCTATTATTGTATCCCAAAGCACCAGGTGTACTTTCTTTTGAACGTCAGTTTATTATATCCGTATGTGAATAATATCTGATATTTGTTAATGTTTCAACTTAGTCATTACGGTTTAATTTACCTAGCATTGTAGATATCAAAATTAGCTTCGCTTCCTACCACTCCCATCTTCGATAATCCAGGATATATTTTTTATATACCCTGGAACCGGAAATGGCGCTACCACTGCTTCCTGTTTTATGTGGACCCTAATGACATGAGGTGATAAATAGTTGTGACGCATTAAATGACCCTTATAAATGGTCGTGACGTAATAAATGACTTTGCAAACATACGTGACGTAATACATGACGTAATTAATTACTCTTCTTGACGAGAGAAACTGTGTGCTAAGTTAGAGATAGGTGCAACGGCAAGGATGACGTCACTTCCTGGTAGAACATATCTTGTGAATAGTTCCAGGGTCTATGTCGTTATAGAATATGGAGATTAAGTACCGAAGGTTGGTGAGGATGAAGAACCATTCAACATTGTAGCAGGTGGTTTTGCTGAGTAAGCATTCTTAAGACGTGTTGAGTTGCTTCCCTTATGTGTCAGGATACGCTGATTATTGCCCGACGCATGATCCTTGGTCCATCGGCTTTCCTTCCACATTATAATACAATGTGATATGAATGAAATATTGTCAAAGCACTGTAAACCAGAAGCTAAGTGTGATGCTGTGAATAAACTACTCACTACTACACCATTGAATGTTGTGTTCGTTTATTCGTTGGACGTTGGACGTGGTTGTTCAATACATACAATATTTTACCTGCGCTTCAGTTACATATCCGTGCATTGTCTTTTTACAGTACATCTTAAAAATATCGTTTACAGTCCGTTTAAGACAAAATGATGCCGATGAATTGCAATCTAACACCAGACCCGTGAAGATCCGGGGTAGAATAGGTCTTCAGCAACCCATGCTTGCCACAAAAGGCGACTATGCTTGTCGTAAGAGGCGACTAACGGGATCGGGTCATCAGGCTCGCTGACTTGGTTGACACATGTCATCGGTTCCCAATTGCGCAGATCGATGCTCATGATGTTGATCACTGGATTGACTGGTCCAGACTCGATTATTTACAGACCGCTGCCATATAGTTAGAATATGGCTGAGTGTGGCGTAAAACTAAACTCACTCACTCACTCACTCAATCTAACACCAAAACAAACAGACATAAAAGAATCAAACCAACGCGGACTGCAATAAAAACAACAGACCAACTCTAGAAAACTTGCATAATTTTTTGTCACAAAAATAAAAAAGTTTTTAAAAAAACTGTCATCATTTATTTGTGCGTTTTCCAAGTTAATTACAAGGACGCATTGGCAACTAAAGGAACAGCGCCTAAAGCGAGATGCTCGTGCATTAGTGACGTCAGAGACATGCGATTACTGCTGATTGACAAAGTTAAGAGAAAATGAAAGTCTATGATTTGCAAAGTCTATGATTTCTTCAAGGATGAAAATGACAGGGGGTGACCCAAGTATGCAATTACTAAGTACATACAGCGCATTGCCTGTGCAGTTGGGGGTACGTGTCATCTCGCCAGCTCAAAAATTTGTTCAGAACCCGTTAACGCACGTGCATCTCGCTTTTCGCGCTTTTCCTTTAGTTGCCAATGCGCCCTTTTCTACGTCAGTTTAGATTCATCGAGCAGCTTCGCAGACTTGGTTGATGCATGTCATCGTACCCAAATTGGTCAGATAGATGTCCATCACCGGATCGTCCTGCCCAGACATGATACTTTGCAGACCGCCATCATACAGCTGAGGGGCGGTGGGGTAGCCTAGTGGGTGTGACGATTCATCGATACGCATCGATACATCGATCCATGGGCCGCCGATACAGTGAATCGATACAAAGTATTACATTGTCGTATATCCCGATATGATACTTCAAATGGGCGGCGATACATCGATGTTTCACTTTGAATTTTGCCGAATCGCGATATCTGTCAAGAAAAGAAGACTCACTTTTGTTTGATGATTAAAATATTTGTTTACTTATTTTCCCTTCATAAGTAAACGTTTTCTCGGAAATTCTTGCAAGAACTGTGTCAGACAGCGCTCACATGTTATTATCATGCACAAAGTCCGTGTATAAACTTAATTATCTCGTTTCCGAATGACCATTGAAAAACGCTGGCGGAATTTGACGAAATACTTTAAAATGGTTTTGTTTTGATATTCAGGTGTTTTATAGTTGGTGTTAAAATTAAGGATTTTAGAATCATGCGTATCGTATCGTCACCCTTATATCGGGATTCGTATCGTATCGCAGCTTCAGTGCACGATACTTTGGCAATATATCGTCGTGACTAAGATTTTAGCATTGTGATGTATCGTATCGCAGGTTGTATGCCAATACCAGCACTATAGCCTAGTGGTTAAAGCGTTTGCTCGTCACGCCGAAGACCAGGGTTGTATGAAGCCCATTTCTGTCCCCCGCCGTGATATTGCTGGAATATTGCTAAAAGCGGCGTAAAACTAAACTCACTCACTCATACAGTTGAAATACATGTAATACAGCGGGCGTTAAGGAACAAAGTAAAACAATCTCACCCTTTTGCAACACCCCCTCTACTCCCATTACAAGGCTGTAAAATCTATTCAGTGTCACTATTCAGTGTTACCCTCAATGTACGTAGTAGGCAGTGTTTAAAACTCCCAAAATTCCAAGTTAGACAGCCGGACTGGTAACTTTAAAAAATTACCAGTCAGGATACAAACTTGCCTATCCGGTTTTCAAAAATAAAAAAAATAAAAAATCAGGTTAGTCAGGATAATGTTTGTAGGCATCGCAATGAACTACATAGCACTAACAGGCAATGCACCGAGTTTAGGTAAACTGAAAGTACACGTGTTGCTTGAACTGTCCAATCGTAAGTAGTTTAACATAATCATCATAATACCGTAAACACCTCAAACTGACGAGGAGAGAACCTGTCTGATATTATGAAATATTTACTGTTAGGGGTAAAAACATCTACCAGACCACCGGACAGGCTACTTTTGAAATTTGACCGTCCGAGATGAAAATAGACCGTTCCGGACGGTCGGATAGGCGGAAATTTTAAACGCTGTAATGGGCGTTGAGACTTCCCACAGAAGTGATCCTTACGTTCTCAACTTTCTGACGGGGCTACATTCTATTTTCTGTTCAAGTCAGGAATATGTCGGATCAGCGATCCGGACGCGAACATTTTATGGCCGCTGCATCAGATAAGTTCCGCGTTGAGTGGATTTTGTGTCAAGGGAGGTAACCGTTATGTGCATTACTATTACCTCCCCTTACCCAAGATGCCAGAGTAGGGTGAGTGGCTGACTAAACCGACGGTGCCAAGTTTCTATGGCATTTAATTTGACTGCTGACGTGAGTTCGCCATCAACATCACTTGTTTGTGGTCTTTGATAGAATGTATACTAGTATTCCGACAGTTGTCACTGCCACCCTGTGGTGGTAACGTGGACTGGCTAGTAGTGTTACAACTCTTCAAGTTCAACCCAGCTGTAAACAACACCATCTGTGGTCGACTATTTAAAACCGGGTACACATAGGCCGATCCGGGAATTTTCAAAGGGGGGTGGGGTGGGGCGTGTCCGCCAATTCAAAGCAATAACTTCAATGTGGTCTTTAGTCAACACCCCCACCCCACCCCGCCCCCACACCACACCACACCCACCACCACCCTGGATCGGCCAATGGTACACATGAACTGATGTAGAGCATAGAACTTTGTGTCTGGTTAAACACACACACACACACACATCTGTTGAAATATAGGCCTAATTGACTTGTGTGTTCATATTACAGAAAAGAAATTCTATGTACATAGATTTATTGTATTCTTAGTACTTTAAATGTGTTTAAGAATTGGCTTACCATACAGTGAATTTGGCATAGGAACAAGAATATACCTTTCACTCGGTGAACTTCAAGATCAGGCTTAACTGCCGGGGGTCAGTTCAGTTAATGGATTGTCATAATTCACTGATGCATTACAAACTTACACTTAACAACACAAACACACAATAGACCAACCTATGTATTGATTCATGTTTTAATTTTATGTCAGTTTTTAATTGGTATTTACAATGTTTTATTTGACCTGGCACGGACCATACCTTATCTGGGAAAAAAATCAATCATTTATTACTGTTTGACATGTATTTAAAAACTGACTTGAATACTTCATTATTAAACACATACTTTTGCAGAGGAAACATAAGTGCGAAAATGAAAAGCTCTTTTGCCAATTTAATGCCATAGATTTGCTATATACAGTATGTTCATAACTACACCTGCTGGTGTTTGTATGTTTGCACTCTCATGCATTGATAATTATTCATTCTCAACAAAATAACTGTAGGCAACAACACCAAAACAGTGACATTTTCAGAACAAAAATGCAACACTACCCCTACATACCTTTCTTTGATTGGCATTCTAGAAGTTGGGTAGATGAAGGATGAGGACTATTTTTATGGATATACAACTTCAATCTGTATAGGCAATGTTTCGACATAGATTCTAATGTCGTTGTCAAGCAAGTGATACATGAGAAGTAATTTTGGGTGATATATATACGTGAGATGTTTGGACAGTAGATGAAGGATGGGGCGAAATTGAGTTATTTATACAATAGAAGGGGTTGATAACACAGATAGTATACATGATTAAGTAGGTTGATGGAAGCCAGTTGATGGAAGTACATGGTTATATACATAGGGGATTAAGGATGTTGATTGTCATACCCTACATTCCCATTCAGTTGATAAACCAGTCAGAAAACAATTGTCTGTTAATGAGGTTGATAATTATGTCATGGAAACATAAATGTAAAAAAGAAATGCTTGTTTTGCCAATCACATGCCATAGACTAACTTGCTATATGTTCAGAATGTTTGCACTGTCACCAGTGTGCAAAATAGTTTCCAAATTTTGCTAATTCACTAGACCGAAATTTGAATGTAGAAACAAAGCTAAAGATTACAAAAATAGATGAGAATACGATATTGTCATCGTGACACGGGTGTCATCATTAAGTTGCTAATGTGATGAACATTTTTAGCAGGCCATAATCCTACATGATTTAAAAGTGTATTGTAACTTATCAAGTTGGAGAGAGTGATATATTTACAAACTGCATGAAAATTCACTAGCCAGTCGGGCAAGTGACCGTAGAGATTTACTAACCCGAACGGGTTTTTTATTATCCACGGGCTAGCGGGCCAGTGCTTATTTCACACACTGACTGTCACACATTGAAATGCAAAGTTCAGTTGCTTATGTCATTGAGGTTTCCATCACTATCAGTGTATCACAGTTGAAGAAGGGAAAAATGAGCTCCACACATGATACCCATGTTGAGATTCGAACCCAGCCTTCGATCATGATGAGCAAACATAGCAAGAACCAACCTACTCAGTCACCACGACAAGAAGTTAGTATAAACATAGATGCAACTTTTCCACAAATTTCAATATATTGAGGATCACAGGATTGGTGACACAAGCCATTACAATCTAAAATGTCTCATAGTCTCTTTCACTGTTCCTTTAATTATTTTCTTCATTTACATATTTATTTAATTTGGGGGTTGTTTTGTTGGGGTTTTCTTATTTCTTTTTAGTTTATTTTATCTATTTTTTTTTATTGGGGGGGGGTGTGGGGGGGGTGTGTGTTTGTAAATAGATTCTCATCCCTGTGTAACAGACAAATAACAAAAATATAGAACCCTAGAATTGGTAATTAATTCATATTTTTGATAATGTGTAACACATTTCTCCTGTATTTAGGCAACTGCTTCAGGAAGACTCAATGGCCGTGTATTGAAAATAGAGAAGTGGAACCCCGACAGTGATGGAGAGCTCACTCAGGCCAACATGAAGAAGAAACTGAAGTCTCAAGGCTACAACTGCATCCAGTACACATTCACCCCGGGGACGGACTTCCCTGACCACACTCACGCAGTGTCCAAGAAGGACTCGATCACCAGTGGTCAGTTCCAGTTCACAATGTACGGCCAGACTGTTATCCTAGAGCCAGGTGATATGATCGATGTGCCGGCCAATACGGTTCATAACGCCTGTGTTGTTGGCTCCAAGTCTGTGGTATTCTTTGATGCTACTAAGTAACTGAAGTGTTGCTTGTTTAAACCTAAAGGTTTATGTGATGGAAGTACAAACAACAATATAAAGACCTATATTTTGTAGATCTTTCAAGTGATTTGTTTTGATTGTATTTTTAAAGCTGTTTTGATTATTCAAATTTGTAAAATGTTTGAAGCCCATTCTAGTGTCCCCTACCATGCTTTTGCTTGAAGGGACGGTTGGGTAGCATAGTGATAAAGCATTCGCTCATAACGCCAAAGACCCGGGTTCTATTCCCTACATGGGTACCATGTGTGAAGCCCATTTCTGGTGTCCCCTGCCGTGATATTGTTTAAATATTGCTAAAATCGGCGTAAAACCAACCTCACTCACTCACTCAGTTTTGCATGAATATTGTCCACTCTCACTCATTCATCTTAAACTATCATTAAGAAATACAGGACACGCTGATGTGTTAACTTGCTATAAAATCCAAACTCCATTAGTGATAAAGCTTGATGCCACAGTGAATTGGGTTCAGTATTTAATATGATGTTTTAAAATCACATATATCTAAGATATAGTTCTCAGCTTTATGTTCAACAGCAGGTACGTTGCATAAACATATTGATATCCTATGTGGATTCATGGGCCCAATATTCCTAAGCCTTGGTTCCATGAAGTTCAGGCCCCATGGAGATTCAGGCGAGTAGGTCCTCACTACCTCAGGATTGTTGCCCTATCTTACAGTGTTTGTATAGAAAAAGCCACCTATATTTGTTTGGTTCTTTTCCTGAAGGTGATAAGCTACAGTATACAGACAGTGGATTATACATGTTGATCTCTTTGACAGATTTGATAGCTTGAGATGGACAATAAGCATTCATTTGGGTGGTATGATGAGAGATGCTTGTTTCTTTGTGGAGGTTCTGGAACAGAGTTAGATCCCTTTGCTGCTTTTCACAATTTTGGGATTTCTGGAAAACATAGGAACCCTTTAATCAACCATTGTCATAACTGTAATGATGACCTGGAGCTCCTTTACTAAGGATAAGCAACCTTCTACTAAGGTTAACCTTAACTCCCACCCTGGTTCTTATAACATTGCACTAAGGGATTACCTTAGTGACCTGAATAAATGATTTAAAGTGGTATGTTCCATCAGAGATATGGAGCCTTGAAGATCCGGGTTAGCTTCACTGCTTGCCAAAGGAGATTGATGCTCATGATGTTGATCACTGGATTATATGATGTTGATCACTGACTCGATTATTTACAGACCGCTACCATATAGCTGGAATATCATGCTCTCAGTACAGTGTTATCGGGTGACTGAAATTAGAAGGGTCGGTCGGGCGATGAGAAACACAAAACTGGGGATTGGGTGGCAGTAATGACACCTGTATATATTACTTGCTTGGCTGAGAACCAGAATCATATGAGAATCAGATGTGTCATAGTCTCTGGTCATATTTTTTGGCCCCAAACATGTACTTCCAAAGTTTCTGGAATAATTCAATCTCTCATGACTTTTCAGTCTTTACAGTTAAACAACAAAGCTTAAGAAGCATGCAATTTTCACTGCACTAAATTCAGTGTGTCAAAAGCTAATACCTCGTAGTCACACCACACAATACAAATTATTTTCTGAAATGTCCTTATGCACCTTTAAGCCTAATATGTCCATTACCTTGTCCTTAACACAGTGCTCTACTTCCATGCAATTAACTGCAATTAGCACTTGTTGTATTGTTTGGTTGACATGTATGTGCAAATGTATGGAGACTCCTATTTTACATTTGCAAAATTAATTTTCTGAGGTTGCTGAACTCTTGTCTTTCAATGATGTCTTGAAGATAATCTCAACACATTTGCATGTTATCAGATATGTGATATGATATTGTGTATATTATGTGTTTAAATTTGAATTAATTGTTTTTGTAGACATAATGTAAAAATGCATAATGTTATTATGTTTTATTTAGAATGATGATTCCAGAAAAATATATATGGGATAAATATTTCACCTGTTTTCTTTTGTTTCTTACCTTACCTGTTTGACCCCACTTTTCAGGGGAAAACAGTGTTTACTAATCAATTTAAAAACTAGTGGTGGTCCGATTCATTGAAATAAGCGAAGATTGGTCGCAGTGACTAAACGACCAAGCAATCGAACATGTTTTCTCATAATGGAACACAAACAATTTTGGAACACTTGTTTGCATTAACAATATTTTTCACGAGGTTGGATTGTCCATGTCATTAAACTTACATTTCATAAATACTACAAGTTCGTTCCAAGTCATAATTTAATTTATCTGAAAGATTCCAGGAAATTTATGTTCCTAACATAGTAGCCATCCTTTAAATATGTGAAATATGAAAATGCATTTTGTGCAATTGCAAAAAACCCAAGAACTACAAGTGTACATGTTTTTCGTTATTTGTTTTGTGCATTAACAATGATAACTGGAACATTTGATAAACGATACTAACCAATTATTTTCGATGATTGATCGTTGTAATGGACCAGTGATCAATTATGAGATTTTGACCAATTCCCAACACTTATAAAAACAACAGACTTAAATATAGGTTAGTTCAGATTCATGCATCAAGAAGATGCCATTTATGGTGGATCAAACAAATGACACCCATGAGATCCAGGTTAGGATGGGTCTTCAGCAAACTATGCTTACCGATTGAGAGGTCAGGCTTGCTCACCTGGGGCTCTTTCACGAAGCAACCTTTACTAAGGTTAACCTTAACTCCTGCACAAAGGTTATCTTAGTGACTTACGATCACCTTAGGTCTTTTTCAGTTTTGACAGGAGGCCCTGGTGGATGCTAGCCGAGAGCCGTGAGAGGGTAGGACCCTATCTCGGCTCAAGGCTAGGTGGATGCATGACATAATATCCTAACTGCATCAACAGATGCTTGTGGTGTTAACCACATGACTGTCTGGTCCAGAGACGGGATTATTTACAGACTACTGATTATAGCTCGACAATTGCTGAGTGCAATATTAAAGGTCACATGCAACGTAAAACACAACATTGCAGATTCTGATAGCTTTCGGTATGGACTTACCGAAACAAATCATCAAAAATGCAAATTCAACTTATAAAGTTGAAAAATAATGCGATGAAAAAAACGCGCGAAATCGGAGTTCAAACGATTCACTAATTTTCCCCCAGCGCTTGGGGGAAAAGTGATTTCAACAGCTGGGTTGCGTTGCGCTGGGCTGGGCTGCGCTCATAGCACATGCGCAGTGAAATAGGTTCGCGCAGCTTGGAAGCGGGTTGCCCGGTGAATACTCGGTGAAAGGCTTTGGTGTGAGCTATTTTTCTAATGTTTTGTTGATATTTCACAGGCGCGAGCTTTTTATATGTTATGACAGTAGATTACCGATTTAACTGTTTATATAATTTCATTTGTCTATTTCACCACACGTTCTTCTTACCGAGTCACTTTCTCAGTTCGATACTTAAAAGCAATGTCATTATTTAGCGTTGACAGAATTTCTAACTGTGATATAAATATGTGGTTGTCAAAGACAAAACTCAATGTCTGTTTATTGACACATATGTGTCTGCCTGCCTGTCTGCTAATGACAATATTCAATACACAACTTCGAAATTCGATCACTGACCACATGCAATTTGAACTTAACACCTATCAGGCTATACACCATAAACAAAACGCATTGATTTATGGCCCGAGTTCGGTCTCTGTCACATTATGAAATTACACAGACAGGCAGGTGTGATACTTGTACACATGACATGTTATGATGTCTGTTGATTGAAAAATGTTATGCACAAGAAATGAGCATGTATTTACAAAACCCAACATCTCTGTATATATACACACAATGAGCCGTGAGGGCATTGGCAAATGAAACAGCCGTTACACTTGAGTCCACACCCACCCACTCTGACTGGGTTCGGTATCCCGACTGCTTCGTTTCTTGGGAAGTAAACCCATGTACAAAATATTGCACTTTTGATTTGCGATTGTACGCTTATAATTTTGTTTATATGTTTTTTTTCATAATCAGCAATGTATATTATATATCATGAATAAGTGATAATTGTGTTTTAATAATGTTTGATTTTTTGGTTGCATGTGACCTTTAACACCAAACCAACATGTAACAACATCCTCAAAATATATTCTGCAGTTCCTTCCATATTACTCTATGCAGCTCTAATTTTATATATCACAGTCCTTAGATGTAGTGAGTGAGTGAGTTTAGTTTTACGCCGCACTCAGCAATATTCCAGCTATATGGCGGCAAATACTCGAGTCTGGACCAGACAATCCGGTGATCAACAGCATGAGCATCGAAGTACGCAAGTGATATGCGATGACGTGTGTCAACCAAGTCAACCAAGTCAACAACCGACCCCCTTAGTCGTGTCTTACGACAAGCAATGGTTACTAACGATCAATTCTAACCCGGATCCTCACGGGTCCCTTAGATGTAACTTGAAGAAATAAATAATATACATAAAGTAGCAGTCTAAGTAAACTTAGGCTCAGTATTACAGCTATACTAGTGTAACGAATAATACTGAGCCTGAGTTTACTTAGACTGATCAAATAGTAACTTGTGGCTAGTAAACATCAATTGGATTGGGCATTCTGTGATTTTGCAAAACACAAATTGGAATTTTCACGATTTTGTAAACCTACTGTTTATACGTCGTTTTCAGTGACTTTGACTATTTTCAAAATAATGAAATGAACAGGATGAACTACAACCACGATAGCGTCCTAGAAAATTAACCCATCTGAAACCCTGGACCTTGATCATGTATAGACAATTCAATGGCGATAACTCTGCAATGGCGATATCCGGTTGGAGAGGGAAAAGTCGTGCACGGAGCACAAACCGGAGTTACACTTGGAACAGTCTTGGTTCCCTGCGAACTGCATTCCGCTGTGCAGAGTTGCGTCTCTATAGGGCACATCTGAAGTAAGCTCCACCAAACCCAAGCTCGTCGGTTTCTGGTGTCCCCCGCCGTGATATTGCTGGAATATTGCTAAAAGCGGCGTAAAACTATAAACACTCACTCACTCGTCGGTTTCAATAGTCTGTCTCACCGTCCCTGAACTACATTATTTTCCTTCCACCCAGCCCTTTCTGCAGTGTTAAAGCCCGAGATGAAGCTAGTCTTGATTTCCTCAGGTTCTGGAATCGTCCATCTCAATGGAACTCATATTCAACTTGGAAGGAATTGTTTCTTTCTATCAAAATGATATGTATTCAGAGAATAAGCATTAGTCTACAAAGTTGTAAACGCCTAAGTTTGCTTGTTTGTTGTTATCAGCAATATTCCAGCTATATGGCGGCGGTCTGTAAATAATCCAATCTGGAGCAGACAATCCAGTGATCAACACCTTGAACATTGATCTACGCATTTGGGAACCGATGACGTGTGTGAACCAAGTCAGCGAGCCTGACCACCCGATCCCGTTAGTCGCCTCTTACGACAAGCATGGGTTACTGAAGACCAAATCTAACCCGGATCTTCACGGGTCCCCAACATACACTGATACTACATATGTCCCCGTCACACCCGTTAGTCGCCTCTTACGACAAGCATGGGTTACTGAAGACCAAATCTAACCCGGATCTTCACGGGTCCCCAACATACACTGATACTACATATGTCCCCGTCACACCCGTTAGTCGCCTCTTACGACAAGCATGGGTTACTGAAGACCAAATCTAACCCGGATCTTCACGGGTCCCCAACATACACTGATACTACATATGTCCCCGTCACACCTGTTAGTCGCCTCTTACGACAAGCATGGGTTACTGAAGACCAAATCTAACCGGATCTCCACGGGTCCCCAACACACACTGATACTACATATGTCCCCGTCACACCCGTTAGTCGCCTCTTACGACAAGCATGGGTTACTGAAGACCAAATCTAACCCGGATCTTCACGGGTCCCCAACATACACTGATACTACATATGTCCCCGTCACACCCGTTAGTCGCCTCTTACGACAAGCATGGGTTACTGAAGACCAAATCTAACCCGGATCTCCACGGGTCCCCAACACACACTGATACTACATATGTCCCCGTCACACCCGTTAGTCGCCTCTTACGACAAGCATGGGTTACTGAAGACCAAATCTAACCCGGATCTCCACGGGTCCCCAACACACACTGATACTACATATGTCCCCGTCACACCCGTTAGTCCCCTGGTTGCTTATGGCCAATTCTAACCCAAATCTGCACGATTAATAAACGTCCAAGACCTGTATCCCTTCTGGCATACCACTCACACACCTTGGTATGTAGTACAATACTGCTCAAAGCGACATTACATATAATTCACCCACTCATTCAGCGTGTTCTACAGTTGTTATGAAACTAAAACAACTTTAAACAATCCCACTTAATGCCACCTGTTTAATGGTGAAACACAATATCTACACTATGAGCAAAAAAGGGAAAAAACAATTTTAAATGCATCCAAAAAGAAATATAAGTTACTATCCGTCATGCAAATTTATTCCTTTTACAAACAAAAATCAGACCCAATTCTTCACATTTTGGTCCTCTTTCCACACACTATTTTGTTTCAATTGTAAACTTCAAAGCGTATAAGGTTATGTAAAAATGACTTACGCCTTGCACGTTATCAAATACAGTCAAATCTGCATTAGCCTTATTTCATGTACAATATGAGCAATATTATGTATCTATGCATTCTTGTGTGTGGGGTAGCCTAAAGGTTAAAGCGTTGGCTCGTCACGCCGAAGACCCGGGTTTGAATCCCCACATGGGCACAATGTGTGAAGCCCATTTCTGGTGTCCCCCGCCGTGATGTTGCTGGAATATTGCTAAAAGCGGCGTAAAACCAAACTCAGTCAGTCTTGTGTACATGTTAACATCTACGCATACTTATGTACCATGTAAACATCTGCTGGGAAATGGAAACATAATAATAATAAAAATAAATATTAACAATGATATAGTTTGCATTTTGTATTAAAATGTAAACGCTTTAACCATGTCGGTAAATAATATATACTGCAAATTGTCTTTTCATCATTTCAACTCGTGGCCTGTACAGGCAAAGGAAGTATCATTTTCCTTCTGTTAGTCGAGGAGATAATCTGAAATGTCACACCAAAACCTGACTGCCTCCCTGCAATAGCACGGTTGTGAAACACCATGGTGAGATAAGATGTCCGGTGTCGGACTCCAGCAAGCCACAAACAATGGAGATATTACTTCCTTCTCCGTGCTCGGTGTTGAGTGTCACAGTCGGGTTTTATTTGTACTTTGCACTGGGTTAGTCATATCAATATCTAAATTGCCGACCAAAAGAAACTTTACCACTTTTAATGCAATTGCAAAAATGTGAAAATACAAGTTTCAAACTATACTACCCATCAAAAGTGTAAATGTAGCCACTTACTTCAGTCAACTATTCTAAACTAGATTTTGAAAAATGTTTCATACTGTTTAAAGGTATTGTTTACACATGAACTTATGTAGTGTAAAACAAATTTGTAACGTTGTCATCAGTTCAATAAATGATGAAACTCAGTGAAAATTAGCGAATTCTTAACAAAACTTTACAGCAAAACGCAGCTGTTCACATGCACGATATTTGCAAATGCTTTTCAGAAAAAGCGAATTCTTAACTAAACTTTACAGCAAAACGCAGCTGTTCACATGCACGATATTTGCACATGCTTTTCAGCAATTTGATGTTTGATCACCGTGCAATTCATCTGCATAAAGTTTGCTGCTGGTGCCCTCAAGTTAGTGGAGAAATGCATCTTCAATGTAACCATATATATTTACATAACATATAGTGAGTGCTTTAGGTGAGTCTAAACTTTGGATGGATAGTATAAATCAATTGCAGCATTGACACCCGAACAACCGAACGGCCCTTGTTTGGTGCTGGGGATATTGCCCATGTCCACGTTGCTTCAACGTTTGGTTGCTCCCGTGTTGCTGTAAGTAACCTGACGCAACGTTACAGACAGACCAGGCAGACATCACAGGTGCCGGTCCACTAACCGATCTTAGCCCTACCCGTCAGTTCGTTCTACACGATAGTTCGTTATACCCGACAGTTCGTTCTACCCGTCAGTTCGTTATACCCGACAGTTCGTTCTACCCATCAGTTCGTTATACCCGACAGTTCGTTCTACCCGTCAGTTCGTTATACCCGTCAGTTCGTTCTACCCGACAGTTCGTTAGTCCCGTCAGTTCGTTCTACCCGTCAGTTCGTTCTACCCGACAGTTCGTTCGTCGGTTCGTTCTACCCATCAGTTCGTTATACCCGACAGTTCGTTCGTCAGTTCGTTATACCCGACAGTTCGTTATAAACGTCAGTTCGTTATACTCGACAGATCGTTATATCCGACAGTTCGTACGTCAGTTCGTTATACCCGTCAGTTCGTTTTACCCGTCAGTTCGTTATACCCGTCAGTTCGTTATACCAGACAGTTCGTTATACACGTCAGTTCGTTATACCCGACAGTTCGTTATACCCGACAGATCGTTATACCCGACAGTTCGTTCGTCAGTTCGTTATATCCGACCGTTCGTTATACCCGACCGTTCGTTATACCCGTCAGTTCGTTATACCCGACAGTTCATTATATCCGTCAGTTCGTTATACCCGTCAGTTCGTTATACCCGTCAGTTCGTTATACCCGTCAGTTCGTTCTACCCGACAGTTCGTTATACCCGTCAGTTCGTAATACCCGACAGTTCGTTATACCCGAGAGTTCGTTCGTCAGTTCGTTATACCCGTCAGTTCGTTATACCCGTCAGTTCATTATACCCGATAGTTCGTTCGTCAGTTCGTTATACTCGCGGTTCGTTATACCCGAGAGTTCGTTCTACCCGTCAGTTCGTTATACCCGATAGTTCGTTATACACGTCAGTTCGTTATACCCAATAGTTCGTTCGTCAGTTCGTTATACCCGATAGTTCGTTATACACGTCAGTTCGTTATACCCGACAGTTCGTTCTACACGTCAGTTCGTTATAAGCGTAGTTCTGTGTACAGAAAACATGCTCGTTACTATGCGGCAGAAAATATGTAAAAATCAAATAATCTGATATCCCATACCTTAACCTCTTACAACACATGAAATTTTTGTGTTTTGTTGTGTGTCGTTCATTCATTCATTCATTCATTTATTTTGCTGTTTATTTTTCACTATTATGCTGTCGCTATGTTAGTCTGCCACACAGACCTTGAAACAAATATACGTAATACAGCCCCTGCCAGTCTAGAATGTGTGGCAAGTCTAGATTACCGCAGTTTCGGGAAAATGCGAAGGAAGACTCTGGGCTTCTTTTTGATATATACATTTTATGAATACCATTTAGCAGCCGTTTTGGGATGGGTTTGTCTGTTTTTGTTTGTTTGTTTGTTGTTGTTGTCTTTTTTTCAATAAGTTCACTTTAGAGACTAAATGATGATTCACGCCGCCAAGGACTGATGACACACTACCAACCCAGTCACCGAGCTGACGTCCGATCCATAACGTCGCCATGTATTCCACAATAATAGGATTTTAGCTCTGATATCCCCTGGTCGGTGATCATGCTGTAAGATTTGGAAGACATTCGATGCATCACTAAAAACATGATGTCACTGGACGGAAAGCTACCTCCATGTATAATCCGATTATTTCATTAAACCTCCCGGGGAGACTGTAGGTCGAGATAATGTCCAGTGTGATTAGACGCCATGGGGAGTGTAGACTGCAATTTTAATGCGCGCTTGTATATCTGCCGACCAGGGTCATAATTCTGGAACGCTTTAACATTGCATTAGGGCGTAGGAAAGAAGAACATATGATGATGATGATGATGATGATGATGATGATGATGATGATAACCATTTCAGCTAACTCTAATCTATCCAAAGCAACGATAATTAGCTCTGCTCTGTCAATAACCATGGCAACTAACTATAACGTACCAATAACCGTGGCAACTAACTCTGATCTACCAATACCCATGGCAACTAACTATAATATACAAATGACCACGATAATTAACTCTGATCCATCAATAACCATGGCAACTAACCATAACGTACCAATAACCATGAAAGATAACTCTGATCTACCAATTTAATAACCACGGCAACTAACTTTTATGTATCAATAACCATGACAATTAACTCTGATCCATCAAGATCCATGGCAACTAACTTTAACGTACCAATAACCATAGCAATTAACTCTGATCTATCAATAACCATGGCAGCTAACTGCAACATTTCAATAACAATGACAACCAATAATAACTAATCAATAACCATTTCAGCAAACTCTAAACTATCAATAACAGCGGCAATTAACTCTGATCTATCAACAATACCGGCAATTAATTCTAACAATAAATATAACAATTAACTCTGATCTATCAATACCCACGGCAACTAACTGTACTATTTCAATAACCATGACAGCCAATTATTACTAACAACACCGGCAATTAACTCTATCAATAACCATGACAACTAACTATGATATACCTATAACTATGACAAATAACTCTAATCTATCAATACCCATGACAACCACCTCGGCCAATAATCATACATGGAAATATTTACTTTCAGGACCCGTTTATTTCAAAATCGCAAACCCCTAAACCAGAAGTAACGTAACATCAGTGCGAAATGTATCGAGGGGGCAAGATTCTCGTTATGAAGAGCTCCAAAACACCACTTCCTGATGTACAGGCCATAATCCAGTGACCTCCGCATAAAATGCCTTGGAGGATATTGTTTTGTAATAAAAGTGTCAGCAGGTCAGTGACCCGTGGTCAGCAGACATTCCAGAGGTCTCCGCCATTGCCCAGCTTGACACAAGGCAGTATCATATCACCAAACAAATCTGATGCAGAGGGTGTAGATGACAGTCCCTGAACCACATTATTTTCCCTACTGCCAAGCCCTATCTGTAATGTAGACTAAGGCTTAGTCTCTGAATATATATAATTTTGATAGTAACAAACAAGCCCATTTATATTGAAAAGGAGCCCTAGGGAGACCAGAGATTCAGAACCTGCAGAGAGGGCTTGGCAGTAGGGAAATTAATGTGGTTCAGGGACTGTGAGACAGACTATCTGTAATGCTAAAGCCCTAAATAAAGCAAGTTTAGATTTCCTCAGGTTCAAAATCTCTGGTCTCCCTAGGGCTCCTTTTCAATTTAAATGGGCTTGTTTGTTTCTATCAAAATGATATATATTCAGAGACTAAGCGTTAGTCTAATGAGAGGAACTAAGATGGCTTCACAAGTATATTGTGTTCGCCTTAAAATTACTTAACTAAAATGTATTTTAATGACGCAAGCCATAAATCAGATTTATAGATTTCTTTCATTCGATATCTCCTGCAACTATTACAACGTTCACCGATATATGAATCAATAATGATGCAGTGTACCATGGTACGTACCGTATAGTTTTATCGGGCGGTGGGGTAGCCTAGTGGTCAAAGTGTTGGCTCGCCATGCCGAAGACCCGGGTTCGAATCCCCACATGGGTACAATGTGTGACGCCCATTTCTGGTGTCCCCCGCCTGGAATATTGCTAAAAGCGTCGTAAAACCAAACTCAGTCAGTCAGTCAGTATAGTTTTATCATGAAATTTACCATGTACTTTGATGCCTCTTCTGATATGATTACTATGAATATAACGCTTTCGACTCTCTGAACGGAATAAATAAAATTTGATTTTTCCATTAAAATCTACTATTTGGTTAAATTTGACCTGCCGTCCAATTGACTGTGACGGGAACTTGGTATTAGATTGCTTGGCCTTCACGTACTTACTGTTGAGAGGAATTATAGTTGCATATGGTTGGCGAGACAGAGCTGTTTAAGGTGCGGTGCCGATATAGATGGTATAAATGGCCATATTTGGTCACATAGACCACACTGATGAATCGTACAGGGTGAGACAATCGCTAAATATAAGGTTATTACACAACCCATAAGTTGTCTACACATTTGATAAATCTATTTTTATGTTAGACTCACAGTTTTCATATGGACCAAATTAATTTCTTTTGAACTTTATATAATACAAAATCAAGAAATAAATGTTCCTTATAACTTCAATAAAATGCATCTAAAATTTTCGTAGATTGAAAAAAATGAAACAGTAAAAAAATCATTTTGTGTGACATATAGTAAACGTTCATGGGCTCGAACCTTCATTTCGTCAGACGCTTTTTCAGTGACTCACGTCTCTTGCATAATTATCTCCCTTTCAATATGCACTGAATCGTCTGGGATAAGGTGCGGTTTTCCAACACGTGATCGATTTTAGTATGCATTGTTCCAATTAAGCACACAACAGTTTTGCTGGTGCGAGAAATACAAGTTTATTCGACCATTTAACAAATACGTTGTGTCAAAACACCAAAATACACAAAAGAAATTTGACATTCCTCGAGCCTCGCGTAAACTTCGTTTTCCATTTTTGGAGATTTTACGATACCGGAAGTGTATTCACCCTGGACGCATGCGCTGACACACCTTCCTGTTCCGCGTGGGAAGCCGTAGGGCGTTTTGACTTCCACCCCTGTGAGCAGAACAACAAAAAGTGACTGGAAAACAGTAAATACACAAGGTAAATAAGTTTAAGGTTGTGATCATTTGCAACACACAGGCGTTGACAAACTGGATATGTATTAAATAATCAATCTTTCCTCGCTTTAGAGTTAATCTTTCAACGGTGTCAAACCGGCGTCTCGTTTACTTCACGATATCGAATACAGACGTCTGATTCAATCGGGGTTCGCGGGTGAGTCAACACTATACTGCACATCAGCATATTATAAGATATCGATTACTTTTGCAGATGTTTATGAGGAAGAGTAAATTTCGGCATGTTTTTGGACAAGCCTTAAAAAGAGACCAGTGTTATGACAACATCAGAATAACGAAGAGTTCCTGGGACTCTCGGTACTGCGATGTCAATCCAAAGTACGTGGCTGTCATTACTGAAGCTGCCGGTGGAGGTTCGTTCCTCGTGTTGCCACTGTCTAAGGTACGTGTTTAGTTCTTTCCTGTTAGATTGCATGGCTGTTATATTAAGGCGTCATTGAAAATACTTCCTTGTTCATAGCCCCAAATCCATATTTATACACAATCTGCTCAAAACCAAATTGTAATAATACTAATATCATGCTTTGGATCATTTCTTTTTATCAGTGCTTTTCCTGTTTCAAAGGCATGAGGTGTCATTTTACCATGGCTCTTTCAACAGCTTTGAGTAATGAGTAATGTTGACATGACACTTGACAGGGAAGGAGGCAAATGTGTAACCACTTATCTACATGATCATAAAACTTCCATGGTGAAATTTGCCCATATTAGAACTTTATGAATATGCGTGTGTGAACGATCATGGACGGTCATTATAGATCATGTAGATAGAGAGTTCATTGCAAGATTTAAAATTAATCCTTGGTCACCTACTCATGGACTATTAAATGCCATGAATAACTGGTGACATTTGTTGGATAACCACTTTTAGCATAGGCAATGTGCTTCATCATTTCTGTGGACTGGTTCATGCGCATGAACTTTCACTGCTCCATCATGTCCACTGTTAGTGATATTCATGATAATGTTAGCCAAAGCACCATAATTCACATAAACATTTTCTTGGACCAGACATTTTCCCCGCTATAGATACAGTCAGGTGTATGAATTCACATTTGGCAAGTCATTGTGACATTAAACAAGTATCTACACTCTTTTAAGTCTCAACTTCCTAATGATCTAGTGATTTTCATGTCAGACTTTACTCATATGGAATAATTATTACAGTGATTTCTATTTCTGTGCAATAGATACTTTGCGGTGTAGGTTTACTAAAGCACTAAGTACTAAGCACAGAGAAGCATTACTTCTAGAATCAGGGACCAAAACAGGAAAAGTTCTTTTGCTTTTGAACTGACCACTTGTACTCTTAACATGCAAGATCCGGGCTAGAATAGGTCTTCAGCAACCCATGTGCTTGCCATAAAAGGCGACTATGGTTGTCGTAAGCGGCGACTAACGGGATCGGGTGGTCAGTTTCGCTGACTTGGTTGACACATGTCATCGGTTCCCAATTGCGCAGATCAATGCTCATGTTGATGATCACTGGATTGTGTGGTCCAGACTTGATTATTTACAGACCGCCGCCATATAGCTGGGATATTGCTGAGTGCGGCGTAAAACTAAACTCACTCACTCACTCTTAACATGCTAAGACTTGATAACAGTGGGTCATATCTGCTTGTGTATTGGTATCAGGTAGGGCAGAGATATTAGGTGAGAGCACTTGTTTTGTTAAACATTATATTCTCGTGTTTTTCCCTGATAGCACATATCAGCCTTATATGAGTGAAGATGAACATACACTTATCATACACTCATCATTTACCATGTTTAAGCATGGGTGGACATAATCTGAATTCAATTTTAAAATATAAATTTATTTTGAAAGATTCGCCACTTAAAACCACTACCCCATAGTCAAGTGTAGAATAATCCTGTTCAGTCTTGAAACTAAGTTGAAAACCCAGCTATAAACAATCTCTCACTGAACTCTCATTGATGGCAAACAACTTAAAAATTAAACATGGGGAAGTAGCTGTATTAAGCTTATCATCATAAAACATTTTTTCCTTGTGATATTAAACCTGGGCACCTTTAATTGATTTATAATTAATTCAATTATTCAATGCACTCAGCACAGATAGATTACCCCATTTGAACTGAAAAGGAGCCCGAGTGAGATGTGAAATTTGGACCTGAACCTGAGAATCTACATGTGCTTATGTAGGTCTTTTGAATTAGAAAAAGGGCTGGATGGATGGCTCTCCAAATCTTGTACGGGTACAAGGGTTTTTAACTTTTATGCCGTACAGAAATTGCATCCAGCACACACAAAATATACAGAATAGAAGCAATATATAGTGCATGGGATACACAATAATGTTAACTGGATGATATTTCAGCAAGGAATATAGTTCCCATTATACATGAAATGATTACATCTTACACTACCTCATTATATGCCCCTTTTAACACCCTTGGTGTTGCCACCCGTGAAGGTCTTGGTTATTGATCTTCAGCAACTCATGCTTGTCATAAGAAGCGGCTAACGCTATAGGATGGTCAGGCTTGCTGACTTTTTTGACAATGTCATTGTATCCCAACAGCGTAGATCGATGCTCATGCTGTTGATCACTGGATTGTCTACTGCAGACTCATTTATTTACAGACTGCTGCCATATAGCTGGAATATTTTTGTGTGGTTTTAAACAAACCAACCAACCTTATTTCAGGTAAAACCCTGAAGCGCTCATCCACGATAGGCTGGGCTGTGTGGTAGCCTAGTGGTTAAAGCAATCGCTCGTTGCCCTGAGGAAAATGGGGTTCAATTCTCTGCATGGGTACATTGTGTGAAGCCCATTTCCCCCTTCGTGATATTGCTGGAATATTGCTAAAAGCGACATAAAACTAAACTAACTCACCCACACACTCCAAGCTGTGGAGTAACAGCATCCAATCTGTTGTGTCTGCCCATGTTTAATTGTTAAGATTTGTGGATACATCATGTGAGCAACTGGAATGTTGTTCAGTTAAATCTGCTGGTAAATCCAGTGTTGTATCTCTACTCTGCTGTATCCAATTTAAATGCAAACTCTTTGATGTCAGGATGTCAATTTAATATACACTTTATATACACTGATAATAACCATAAAACAAATTTGATAAAAGTCACTGATGTTTGTGTTCAAGCATATTTGCAAAAGTCATTATACTGACATTGTTCACAATGTATTGTTGTTTTTCATAGAAAATATTATTTAAATGTTTCAACTTTAGCAACTACATGACATATTTGTCATAATGTCTAGATATTAAGGATTAAGTATTCATTGATAAATATTCATATTCGCTACTATAGATTCATAAAGCATATATTCGCCTCATGCTATAGTATATTCATTACAGCCCTAGTATTGAGTGGTAGTAGAATACGTGTTGTATTTTTATAACTTTCTTTCTTTTTTCTTGGGTACAGACAGGGATTGATATCACAGTCATGTAATGCATTCTGCTGTACAGTATGGATATTTGAAGTTAATCTGTCGTGATATGTAGTAGATATATACAGGATAGGCATACCAGGGCTCCTGATAAAGGGCCGTATCGGCGTATGGATAAAATATATGCACGATACGGTAGGAAATAATTTAGAAATAGTAGCAAATACGCACCACAGCAGTGGTGTATGGTCTTAGAATCATTTACAGACATATTTATCTGAAAAAAGTATTGTTTTATTGTTTTTTACCTGTATACACAAGAGTAGCAATGTTGTGCATATATGAAACGAAACACAAGATCACATACTCCAATAAATTCAGTTCAGTACTCTAAAAGTTTTTCCAATACTCCTATAGTTAAGAAATAAGGAGTACGTACTCCTCACGTTGAAAAATTATCTGGAGCCCTGCATACTGTACAGTATACAGAATACATCCTTCAGTAGGTAGACAATTATTGAACAAATTGTTTCCTTGTTGACTTTTCCTCCAGCATGTCATCACTGATATAATCCAATAACTCCTGGAGAAAAATATCAAGCTCAAATGTTTCAAGTTTTAAAACCTGTTCTTTCAAGGGTTCGAAGTAAATGTTTTTGTATCACATACCTAAGATTTGCTTTTTAAATATTTCTTACATGAATGATACTGGAAGTAATGTTCAATTGTACTCATTAGACTTATGATGGATCATAAATTGATTGAATGATGAATTTCAAATTGTCTGCAATGTTGAAAATGTAAACCATTCTCTGAAAATGCACAAAATGGAAGTTACGCTGTGGTTGTGCTAGTCTGGGTAATGTGCAGAGTGCTCTTGGTTGGGCTTCACTGATGCAGGAAGTATATATACACGTTCCTGTTGATTGGTGGTCACTCAATACTAGCATGAGGACATAATTCAGTAAACTCGGCCTTGGTTCAAAATGAAATTGAGTTGAATATAAAGGATCATTTGTGATCTCTTATGAGGAAAAGTTTAATATTTAATGTTTGAAATGTTTGAGGTATGGATTTTTCAAATATATTTTACTTGTAAATTAAACATTTAGCTAGTAGAAAAATGATCAATACATGGTCAGTCGTCATAGTTTCTTCTAGTGCAGGTCATGCAAGCTGAACCTTCAGCTTTTTATTGAACATTATTCTGTCTTTCGCATTCCCGTAACTACATTATTTTCATTTCCACTCAGCCCTTTCTGCAATGCTAAAGGCCTAAATGAAGCAAGTCTAGAATTCCTCAGGTTCAAGTTTTTAATCTCCCTTCTCACTGGTGCTCCTTTTCAATTTAAAAGAAATTATTTGTCTCTATCAAAATTGTATGTATTCAGAGACTAAGCGTTAGTCTAAATGAACATTTTTCATAGTTTTCTGTAGTCCATGGCAGATGCCTGAACTATTTGGCATTTCCACAAAACGCTATCTTCTTCAGAAAAGCAAAAAATACTGTAATTTGTTAACTTGTGCATGTTTCTTTAAGAAATATAAATTTGTTCAAATCAGTCAATGTTCTAATTGATATTGCAACCGTTTGTTTTGTGTGTGGAGTACATTAAATGGTCTGATGTGAATCTGGGCCCTGTCAGGATTACCCTTATGTAAGAAGAAACATTTTTGACAGATGAGTTGTTAGTTTAGAAGTTATTTTGAATTTAACCTTGTTAACAATAGGCATGGTTTATAGCCTTATTGGATTAACATCATAGTGATGTTAATGTATTGTAGATGTCTGAATATCATTATTGTCAATTCATTATCAGATTATCAGCCATTTCCATCAACCTTACAAGGTCACTGTTCAGTTAAGATACAAGGACATTGACCATTAAGTATCTGACTTTAGCCACTGGCCCGAAACCTGAGTCTAGTAAAATTCTGTTCGGTCAAGTAAGCTCTGCTAGTAATAGTCCATGTAACATCTGCTGGAATTATGCTAAGACGGAGCTAAGTTCTTGGCATATACTGCTGACTAATCCCTGAAGTTTTCTTCAGGATTCTTAATGACACTGGAAAATGTCCCATCAAAAGTTCCCGCCATATATTGCTGAGTGCTGCGTAAAACTAAACTCACTCACTCACCCATCAAAAGTTGACTCTGTCAAGAACATGTTCTGATGTAATTTATGTCTAACAAAATCATTGCCTTAAATCAGCACATTCATCATGTTTATATGCTGTTGAGGGCATCGTTGCCATGGCATATAGTGATTCATCTTCAATATGGGAGTGATGTAACTCAAGTGCCCTTGCCATGCTTACTGATTCATGTTGATTAGTAATGGGATGGTTTTATCAATTTACAACATGCTGATTCAAAATACTACCTGTATCTCAATATATATACAAAAGTAACAGAGCAATATAAAGCCGTATGTTTGATTTCATTTCTACAAAATGTATTTTTAAATTAAAAATGCTGTCAATTTATAAGAAAACAAAATAACATATTTTTGTCAGGTTTCTTCAGGAAAATGTATACGTCAGTAATATGAAAAATGTTTTATTCTCAACTCAAACTAACATTAACAACCCCCTGTGAATTAGTATTAAATATTCCTCACATTGGAACTTATAAAACTGATTCACTCTGGGCATTTTTTTCCATAATTACTCATAGGTCATAGGTTGTTCTGTAATTATATCATTTGTCATTGTCATAAACTGGTATTACTATTAGTTCCACAATGGATTTAGTATCACTGGTAGCTGTTGCCTAAAATGACTATGTAGTTGACATCTGATCGTAGGCATCATGTGTTGGGAGAGTTGTGCTTAGTATCACATGCCACCACAATAGTATCATGTGTTACAGACAAGTACCCACTGGTGATAACAGGGTGATAACACAGAATCGATGTGTGGCTGCGTTCCATTGC